ACAAACCTTTGAAGAGCATGTTAGATTCTAAAGCTTATGAGTCAAGCATGAGTGCTGTACAAGAAAGGGAGAGAAGTAAAATAATGAAATAAAATAAATATTTTGCCTGTTCAATCCACATTAGTCAAACACTTTTCAGTCCAGCTCATGTATTATTCCTGATGTCTGTCTTTCTAAATCTCTCAAACATGATTCAGAGACTAAAGCAGTAAACTGAGCTCTTCTCTAGGACGTCTCTACGCCTCGCAGAAAGTTTTCTGAGCTGACGTGCTCGGATTTACAGGGGGAACTTTTGTCATGAGCTCTTGGATTGTTTGTTCCTCTGCTGATACCAGGAAAAAAAACCACAACAATGCAAGTGCATTAAAAGCCTGAATATTTCACAACACTTTGCACTTAAGCAGAGAAAATATAAAAATTTCATACTTTGGATGAATTTGCTCAATCTCATTTTGCCGCAGCAGAACACTGGCATGAAGTGTGAATTATAAAAGAGCGTGAAGGTGTGAGAGTTGTGACACTGATGTGTTAGTGAAGGTAGCAGCTTGGCTCTGCAGGTGTGTTAGATGTTGAGGTTTGTGGGTCATCTGTGTATAGAAAGTGTGTCTCTTCTCACCCAGACTTGGGTTAAACTGGTGTTTTGTTGATGTGAGTGTGTTTTCTCCAGATAACGTATCTGGCTGTATTTCAGGGTACTTTTGAGATCGGTCCATGTCCCGTCCACGATCATGGAGGAGGCGTTTGCTGCTAATTAGGTCATCTTAAAGCATCCTCTTCATCTGCAAGGCTTTAATGGCACCTGAATAGAGAAGAAGGGCCACCAGCTGATAATCACAACTAACTTTTGATAATGAATAGAGGGTGGAAATACACATTCCATGAAATTCTGTTCAAATTAGTCCTAAATTTGGATTTATTTTATTAACTTATTGGTGGTAAAGAAAAAAGAAAAAGCTTTAGACTTTTATAAACCAACAGATTTGAGGTTAAAGGAGAAGTATAAAGATTGACACTTGTTTTTCCTCTAACTATTAGCTGCTCCTTCGCTGATGAATGCATTCAGTTATGCGTGTTCAGTTTGAGCAGACAGGTTGTCCGGCAGGTTGATGCCCAGAAATGATGATGCTGCTCATCCTTTCTTTGAATTGCCTCATCTCATTATTCCCATGAGAGCCAACACTGTATCCATACACGTGGATTTTCATGAGCATATAGTGCAACTGAGAGAAATGAAGCCCGTCTGGTTTTTGGATTCACACTTTGACACTTTGATTGGATTTCAACACTGAACAATTTCGCTCTGCAGCAGGATCATTTCTCCACCGCTCTTCTTAAAGCCCTGGGAAGGGCTCTCGTCTCTTTGGAGCATTTCCTCTTCTCCCGCTCTTTTCTCTTTTTAATCAGCTCTCTCTGGATCCAGTTCTGTATAATTAGAGACCGAAGCGTTAATCACCATGCATCCAGGGCAGGGAGAGCCAGGCATTTCAAAAAGACACAAGAGAAAGTATGGAGACGTAGAGGAAGGACAGACAACACTGCTTCGCATTACTGTCAGTGTGCATACATTCACACACCGTGAGGACACATCCTAAACACCCAGCTAGTCGTGTGTGCTGGTTTTTGACCTGTTGTCATTATGCTCAGCTGTTTGTTGCGTAGTGGCGTTGTGTTGCTGTGTTGAAAGGTCACAGTTTGCAGGAGGTCCTTACATAACAACTCTCCCTTACCTTCTCTCCTGTCTGCTCCTATCTCCTCACCTCCCATCTTCCCTCGTCTCCTTCCTCAATCTTTGCCCTGTCTTCATGCTGGCAGTGATTTTGCTCTTAAACATTTCATCCTCTCCTCCCTTAACGTCTTGTTCTGGCTGGAGGGAAGACCATTCACTTTAACTGTAAGTTCACATTTTGGCAGAGTGCAATAAACATCAGAGTGGACATTTATTATTTTGGGTGAAACTCTGCTGGCTCCAGTAGGAAGTGCTGTGTACTTTCTCTGCAGGAGTAGGGAACAGAATAACACGGGCCAATGACCTGAGCTTCATTTTATTTGCTGTATAGTAAAAAAAAATGTAACTTGGAGAGATTTGGAAATGAAATTAGATTGGAAAGTGCTCATAAATTGATTTTTATATCAAACGACGAAGTGAAAACATTGAGACAGCTCATAGCAATAAACTTACTGAGATTTAATTGAATCTCCGGCTCCAGTCAGCTTTAGTGAGATTTGAAGTCATCGCCAGTTTGAGGATCTTAGACTGTATAAAGATAGACGGCTGCTTGAATTCTCCGAATTCTACGGAAAGGAGCTTCACTGCTTCCTATGTTGTCTCCTTCAGCATAGGAAACACTGGGACGATCTTGAAAGTGATGCAGCATCTCTGTTGCTGCTGTCAAGATCCAGAACTGATGTGAATCCTCACCTGTCCAGTCTGGAGTCCCAGTGAACAACAAGCATGCTGAACCTCAATATCATGAAAAATACATATAAATATTATGATCATAAGTCAATTCAAATATAAATATCATGATCAGAACTCTATAAAAACATATGTACGGTTGGAACGAAGTAAAAGTACAAATATCAGTATCATGTTCAGAGCGAAGTAAATATAGAAGTCATTTCTATTCCCCTATTGTAAATAAAATAATTTTCTCCTCTTACACAAGGTTTTCTTCACGTATTTTCTTCAGGTTATTATATGTTTCAACCTCATGGTCCTGTTTGTTTTGTTCAGCGATGGTTTGGTCTGTGATTATCTCCTGCTCTATTTTGAAATTCCTTACTGGTTGTTTCACTTCCTGTGTTTGTCTGGTTTCCTGCTCTTGTGATTGGTTTCCCCACCCTCATGTGCCTCACCTGTATTTAATTAGGCCTCAGTTTGTTTCCTGGCCTTCACCTCATGCTTCACTTCAGCTTCCAGCTCTGTTGATTGTTCTTCAGAGTTTTTGGATTCTTTCTTTTGCGACTTCCTCCCTCTTTCTCCTGCTGCATCATTTATGTAAGGCAATTTATATTTTTCAATTTCACCGGCACCCTCCTGCCTTGGGTTATGTCCGTGTCCTGTTAAAGCCAATTTAATGCCAGTTGTATGATTTCTCTAGTGTGTGTGAAACAGCTCAACCTCCAAACCAAGCTTTTTGGTTTTCACCACATGGAAGGCTTTGGCCCTGCAGTGACGCCGCAGGCCTCGGTAGCTGTTAGCTCAAGGTGAACCCAGCTTGACTTTTAAAAGAGGCTGATGTGAGTGGACAGATCAGACTTGTGAAGAAACATGTTCAGTGCAGACACGGCTGTTGTGAACCACTCAGCAAACAGAGCAGAGGCAAAACCACGGCCTCGCTTTTTTTTTAACTTCAAATGTTTAATTCAGTCGGTGTATTTTATGGTTTGTGTCCCCGAGAAGCACAGATGTAGTCCTGTGACTTGAAAACTGAATATCAGTTTGATTTTGGTGTAGTTATATTTAAGTGTTTGTCTTTTTCCTCCATTTTTCCATGTCCTTCCTGTCTCTGGCGTTCAGACCTACACAAAAGTTTTTTCTTTACTTGGCTTCAAGTATTCAGTAGACTATCTGGGCTCTTACATGAGCTGCCGGTTGATTAAAAGGTGCTGATATATTAAAGTGCAGCGCAGATAATGTTTTAATGCTGACAGATGGTTCCCACTTCTGCCCTTAGTTCTGTCATCATGCCAAATGAGCTCAGGATGTATGCTCTGATCTGTCTCACTCCATATGCAGTGTCAGTACTGTGTGTGTATGAACAAGGGCTTGTACACTGATATGAAACAATTGGTAAGTTGAACAAAAGAAAATCCATCTGCGAGATTTGAAAATTGTTGAATTGTAACTTTCATGGGAAGGTTTCCCAACTTTGCTGCTTTCAGACGTTCTAATATCAAGATTTGTTGCTTTTTGTCGCATGAAACACAAGTTTATGGAATTGATTTGGAATATAAATTGTGTACGTCTATAAATTGTTGTGTACAAATAATCCAGGTATGTGATAGACAACATGTTTGTCAGATTAATTGATGAAAATCTACATTGTCTTAAATTCAGCCCTCGTACGTTGATGCATTTGCGATCATTCATTTAAAATGGTGATGTATGTGTACAATTATTGTCAATGTAGTGGATGTAATGCTACACTGACCAACACTGGACTTTCAAGTCATTTACCAAATTCAATATTTGAGGACTAAATAAATATCCAAGAAGTAATCAGGCAATATTGATGTATTGTAATGTGAAGTCTTAATATAAACAAATATTTGATATGTCACCCAGGTTTTTTCTGTGGACATTTTATTGTGTAAAAAAAGTTCAGCTCTCTCTGGTGGACAGATTGTGTACTGTGCTGGGGCTTCTCGTTTGATGACCCTCTGTGAGCAGGAGCCTGATGGCAGGAGTTTGATCACCAGAGTTTCACCTGCTCTGGCTGCTCCGCTCGTCTCCCTGCTGTCTCCCACAGTGTTTGCATTTGGTTGTATTTTGATTGTCTGTTGCGTAATTCACATTTCACTACTGTAAAATAAACGTATTTTTCAATTACAACTTGTGTGGTCTTCTTTCCTGTGTGGTCCTTCCTTTGTGCGTCCTTGAGCTGGGTTGTGGGGGCTTGTTCACGACCTAATAAGTTTTGTATGATGTAGTTTTGTCTTTGTGATTTGACTCTGTTTGGTTTGTGTTATCGCTACCTTGTGAAGATGGGTGTTAATGAGCTGCTACTGATTAGATTTGCAGAACTGCACTCTGCCTACTAGTGTTAATGTATCTGTTGAGCATCATATGTGTTTCTTGTGATTTTTGTCGGGGGGGGGTGTATGGCTAGATCTTCAGTCTCTGTTGTATCTGGTTTGTTGATGCATTTTGTTGTTCTCCCAACTGGTAATTATTGCCTCTTATATTTAAAATAAATGAATCAGCAGATATAGATGACATATCACTACCTCTGATACCAATGTTCACTGTTTTTTTTCTCCCCTGTCTGCTTCCTCAGTATGAATTCAAGGCCAAGAACATCAAGAAGAAGAAAGTGAGCATCGTGGTGTCTGTGGACGGAGTCAAAGTGATACTGAGGAAGAAACAGAAGGTAAGAATATTGTGATAAATTCCATCTGAGGTGAGAAATTATTTTTGCTTTAAAACTCTCCAGCTTTTTCAAATGAAGATTTGTTCTGTGTTTAAACATGATGGTCTTGTTTCTTACAGAGGAAAGAGTGGACATGGGATGAGAGCAAGATGCTCATCATGCATGATCCCATATACAGGTCAGTCACACCTCTGTGATAAATGAATGGGGTTTGTACTGTATGCAGATAACATGTTATTATCTTTGCATTCTTACCCCCGGTGGATCAAACATGCACTCTGTAAATAATACAGTGAAATTGCTCTCCAACTCAATGAGCTGAGGCTTTACAGGCCGTCGCATGCACTTTACCATGCAGGACTTAATGTGCTTTAATGTTCTATATATGCTAAATGCAGTCACATGCATAAGCCAGCATCATAAAAAATGTAAAGCTTGTGCATGTAGATGGTTGAGCATATGTTAAGTTTGCAGTTTTTTCAGGGTGGGGGGGTTCTACTCTGACTGTTTTTGGTGTTTTGTGACACAAGAGTACAACAAAGTTTCAGCCTGGCAAATATCACAGTAAACTATCCCAAAGTAAAGGTATCATCCCATTTGACTCAGTTATACTGTGGTGGAGCCTGTCAACCAATCACAAACCTGCCTGTGATGCTCTGAGTCACTGCTCAGCTCACAGCAATCAATAGTCAAAATTAGGCTTGATGGAAATTTTTCTTTTTTTTTTTGAAAAGAGAGACGATATTAAAGTATTTTGTTTTGAGAACTATAAAACTGTCATTGTCTGTTTTATTTCAGATCAGAAGCAGGAGGTAGCTACTTTAAAGTGTCTTTACATTGAAATGTTTAAGTGAGTGCTCTTAAAGGTGTGTTGTAATTTATTCATATCCTATATCTGTTGGAGGATCTGAAGCAACACCCCAAGATAGTGTGATAAATATAATTGTCCCTGTGTGGGTTTGTCCGTGTGTGTGTTGTCTGCCTGGCTCCCAGTGAGGATGTGTTGTAGCAGTGCAGCAGCTGATAGAGATGCAGGTCTGAGCCTTTGTGCTATTACACTTTACTGTGGTGGTGCTCAGGAACAGGACAGTATAAGACACCAGGGTTCGTACAGCAGAGTAGTGGCAGTATCTGTAAATATTCCTTCCTGTAGAATTATATCTGCATTTGTTCATGACTGTAGTGATGATGGTGGAAAAAAATGTATGTCACGTCACAACTTTAATTTTCTTTGGTTTCTGCAACGTTTGCTCAGTATTTAAATTTCCTGTTGTTTTGCAGGATTTTCTACGTGTCTCATGACTCCCAGGACTTAAAGATCTTCAGCTACATTGCACGAGATGGCTCCAGTAACTCCTTCAGATGCAACGTGTTTAAATCAAAGAAGAAGGTACAGCAGAAGTGCAGCCGAACACTTTTACAATCAAAGTATTCACGTAATATTAATGAATTGATTATGAATCATATTATTGGTACCTGTATGTGTCTTTGTTAAATATCAAGTAAGAGCCAGCAGGTCATTAGTTTAGCTTTCACTGAAAATGACCTACCGACACCCCTAGAACTTAATAATCAACATTCTGTATTCTTTTTAAATTAGGAAAAAAGTGCAGAAGTGCCGTTTCTATTTCTTTGCTGGGGGCAGTGACTTCTGTCAGTTTGGTCAGATGCAAGAGAATTTTTGAACGGCCATGATTGGATACAAAAGTAAAAAGAGAATGTTAATAGATGTGAGTTTGCTCAGAGCAGCACAATTTGATGCAACTTTATCCTGTGGTTTTATGAATCTTCTTTATAAAATAAAGTAAAATGAGGTTGGAGGGAAACAAAGGAGACAATTCTGACATCAGAGGGCTGAGATGAATACAAACCCACACATGGGGTCTTCTGTCTGTGTGTGTTGCTATCTAAAGCAGCCTACAGCTACTGTACAGTTGGTTGTTAGGGGCAAAAAAAAACAAACGGTCCAGCAGTCAAATTCATGCAAATGCCACAAGGTGAAAATTCACTTTGCTTTCCATCTGAACCATAGACTGTAAATCAAGATAGATGTCATGACCACTCCCAAAACTTGATCACCACCTGATGTCTGGCTGCAGTATTGATCATAAGCATTGCCTCCCCCATGTGGGTAGGACATGGACCAAACTAAAAAGTCAGAGTACAATTCAAATACATTTTAAAGGATGGTTCCTGTCATTTACAGTAATCATCACACTCTATGTCCAAGTGTTAATGTTCCTGGCAAGTTTGATTTTAATTATTTATTTCACACCGGGTGAAACGTTGGATGACTGACAGCTGAGACTGACTCCTGATTGGAGGAGCGGGGCTTCACCACCCCAGCCACCCCGACCACTACTCTGCAGGCTGTGGCTCTAAATGTACGAGATGACAGCTTTCGTATCCAGGATATATTGGCTTCATTTCTTGATAGTGGGAGGAAGTTGAGACACGTCGTCCATCTTTATCAGTCAATGTTTAACTATTCATTTAACTTTGAACATTAGACTTTAATGTGGGTTTTTGTTTCGTTCAGATGAGATACAAGTTATTCTACAGCAGCATCAGTAACTTCAATCTAATGCAGCCCATGAGACATGTTAATTCACTTTTTTGTGACCAGCTGCCTGTGACTGAAGGTTATCTGTAGTCTGCGTTCTTAACCTTTACTCCATAATTAATTTCCTGGATTCGTCAGCCGAGTTAATCAATTTTAGTTTTTAAATTTGAGCTTTAATTTCTTGCGGCTCAGTTAATATCCGGTGGCTTCGCACTGCACATCCACAGCTTTCAGTGAATGCAGAATGGATGTACTCGAGGACAAGGATCACGACTGCACATTCCAGACAAGCATCTCTTTATACCTGTCTGAAGATGTACGTGTGTTACTGCAGTTGTTGCAAGTCACTGCTGTCTTGGCTTGGAGGTCTGCTAACACCAGTCAGCTGTAATAATGATGTCCTGCAGAAGTGAAGCCAAGGATGATGGAGTGTGTGCATAATATTAAGTCTGACCAAAGAGGTAGCAGGTTGTGAAAGAACACTGGTCAGTGCTGTGGTGTTTGTTGGAGTGAAAAGAATACTCTTAACATTTACCTGTGACCTTTTATCTTTAACATCTCTCCCTCAGACGCAGGCCATGCGTATAGTGCGGACAGTGGGTCAGGCCTTCGAGGTGTGCCACAAGCTGAGCCTGCAGCACGCTGAGCAGGACGCAGACGGACAGGCCGATGGAGAGAGTGATAAATCAACAGAGGAGCCCAGCAGTGATGGTGAGGTCTACCTGAAATGTTTTACCCTTATCTGCTATCCACAGGGTATTTCTGCACATAACACACATTTTTGGGTAAAAAATATCACAGCAGATTTTCATGACTACAGAGAACTGTGTAATAAAATGGAAGTCATTATCAGAGAATATTAAAAGACGTTATTTAAAGCAGACACAAAATAAATGTCATCTGTGTAGGGCTGGACAATATAATATAATAACTGCAATATATTTTTCATCAATACATATTACTTATGCATGGTTTACAGTGAGGAGGTATAACATATTACTGTTCTATGTGAAGTTTGTAAAATGTGTTTGTTTTTTTCATAAAGAGTTTAAAACTACAACCTTCACTCAGGAGCAGAAGTCCGTCTTGAGACTTTCTTGAACATAGTATAGGATAGGGTGTAACGTTAATAACATTTGGAGCTTGGTGGGAAAAACATAATCATCCCACCCATAAATCAAGATAGGTGACAGGCAAATTTAATTATCCAGATCAAGTGAATTTAAATGTGGTTTAATAAGGGGTCTTGGGGTTGGGCTATCTTTCAGATTTTTAGGTAATAAACATTGTGAATTTGATATGTTGGTAGATAATGCAGCTATTTTGACATGAAATATTAGGTGAACGCATCAATTAAGGCTCTATATAAATAGAGCACTGTGTGTATACATGTGCACAAGTTGCTGTATCTGGTGTTTTGCTTTAGTTTCAACACCAAAATGCAAAAAACAATTTTGTTACAACTAAAAAGCTGCAGTTACTTACGTTTAACATTTATAAATTGAGTATAAGAGAGAAGTATTTTTGGCTTCTCACAAAAATAATACAACCATTGTTCTCAGAGAAGCACTTTATATTTAACACTGGGCCTGAACAATGTTATTGTGGAAAACATGGTGTTTATGAACCTTCATTTTGTTCACATGGCGACCGTCCTCGATCTTCCCCTTGTTGATTACATGCCTCCTTGTGGCCTAATTGGAACCATCACACCTCAGTAGCTCATTAAATTAGCTCAATGATATAACCACATGGAAGTCTGGTCACTGGAGTGTTCAGATCTAAGACAGAATCTTGATTTGAGTGTTGCTTATAAAAGCCTCCACGTTACAAGGTGGAGAGAAGTAACTGGATTCTAACTTTCACATCAGTGGGCGGCAGCAGACAGCGGCTGTCACTGGTCCAAGTAATGACTGTAATTTGCACAGTGGGATGAATAGTTATCTGACATTGGGCTGGAGCTGGTGACATGCAGAGGAGATTGTGACAGTAAAATACTGTGTGCTCAACATAGCATTAATTTAAGGTTTAGTTGTATAAATTAGTGCATCCATTTTTGTATGGTTTTCATAGACTCCTATTCATTATTGTCCCACTAAGCTGGACACATCAGAGCAAAAGACCACAAACTGCATCTATTATATAAACTGTAATCATGCAGTAGGTTAATGACATGTGGCATCAGTATAATATAAAGGAGGGTTCTGTATATTTATTTTAATAATAATAATTTGATGGGCATTGTATGATTTAAACTTTGTCTCTAAAAAATCTTCAAATGTGTTTGTATTATATTTTGAATTGCACTAAATACTTGGTGCTGAGTGAGTGTTAGCATATTCTGAGCATCTCTTAACAAGAACTCACCGATATTCGGACTATCAGTAGCATTTCATGTAAATCTGTTGCCATCAGCTGGTCAGGTTTGCTTCACCTGGAATAAGACTGTTTTAATACAACCCCTTGTCAAACAGTTTCTTTCTGTGCAGCTCTTTTTACTAAATTTAAAACTAAAATAAAATACATTTCATCAAGCTTTAGAAAGAGACTTTCCCCATTTTCTGTCTTTGTGCTAATTAAGCAGGCTAGTGATGATAGCTTTGAAGCATAGAGACAGGAGAGGTATTTGTCTTTAACAACTGAAACATATTTTCTAAAATGCTTTTTTCCCCTCTTATTAAAAACTAAAATCCACAGGGTGATAGTTTTTCTTTCTTGTCATGACCGTGTCCCTCTACAGGGCGTCAACTGACGGGAGCCGAGCGAGGGGAGGAAGAGGAGGGCAAGCACGGAGGAAGACGAGGAGGAGAGGATTCTTTGGCCGGCACGTCACTGTGTGAAAAGGCCGTCAGTGAAATTCTGCAGAGTCTGGCTGAACTGAATGTGGTGAAACCAGGACAGACCATCATGGTAAGATACTGTTGGGTAAAAATTTTAATTGGAGCCTGTGTCTTGAGTTTGACACATTTTACTTGTGTATTTGCTACTTCTATACATAAAGCAAGTTTTATGTTAAGACGAGTGTAGTTTTCTGTTATTGTTTAGTGTTTAATGTACTGAGCTGCAGGTGTCGATTGGTTAAATGCACTTGTTGAGAGCTTGTGTGGGATTATAGTCCCCTGGTGATGTAAATATGTGTCATCTGCATAACTGTACAAACACTGTTATCCCAGAATGAGTGACTTACAATTGTGTCAAAACCGGTTAATGCTGATGAGAGGGTTGTGGGGAAATAGGGGGAGAGAAAATGGGAACAGGGCAACTCGGGTCCAAGCAGTGACCAGCTGTTTCATTAGGTCGGTGACAGACAGGGAAAGGGGCTGTGGAGGAGGAGGGGGAGGCTGTAGCATCTTTTCTCTTTGCCCTGATGTCTCTCACGATTAAATCTCACTACAGGTAGGGGCTGATGCAGCTCTCCTTCAGGGTTTCTGCCTCACCATGTTATGTCTTCTTCCTGTTTTGATTCTCTTGACCTTTCTTTAAACAGATGCATGACACAGGAAGAGAAATGGCTTATAGATAATCACTTGTACTCCTGACCCCCTAAGGCAAAGTTCATCTGCCTTTTATAAAATATCCGTGCGGCACATGTATACAAAGATGGACGACATGTCATCTCCTCTAAAGTGAAGTCAAACTGTCTTGAATGAATGTCATACCTCCGACCATCATTTTTTTAAAATGCTGTTGCATGGATCCGGCTCCAAATGACAGCAAAAGATTGTGGCACCCAGATATTTTGGCTTCATGTTTGTACAACAGGTGGAAGGGAAGACATGTACTCCATCTTTAGATGTCAGATTGTTAGCTGCAGGGTACAACTTGAGATGGTTTCTGTCATTTCAATAGGCTCTTGTGTCACTCCATGTTAATTTTCCCAGTTAGTGTGGTTTTAATTAGTTATTTGATGCTGTAAAAAGGGCTGAAACATCATGTTTGGCCTGCAAAGACGTGTTCCTATTCGGGATAGTTCAGCTTCATTTCTGGATAGTGAGAGGAAGTGGAGACTTGTCTGTATTGACAGTAAATATTTGTCAATAAAGTTGCCTGAATGGACAGTACAGTTTGCTGAGTCATTGCACCTCCCCCCACACAATTTGCCCTTAACACATTGTACAAAGAACACGGTCTAGCTAATGGGACCTGTCTATCCTTTATGGGTCAAGCTGTGGTGAGCTCACAGGAACAAATAGATCCGTAATCACTGCGCTTTGTTAGATCAGGGTTTAAATCAATGTACAGTAAAAAGCCAGCTGTCAGAGGAAAAGTGCAATATTCAAATATTGGTGTAACAAGACACGTTTTCAGTCTTCATAATGTTGTGCTCTTTCTTAGAGATAAAGTGTTAGAAATGGGAAAACAGCAGGAGTTGAAATCCTGCTGTCCAATCTGAGCTGACCCAGTTCCACTGTCAGAAAGGTGCAGGGGGTTTCCAAAGTTGCTCATCCGTCCGACAGGGGCTTCCGTTGAACGTTTACAATCCGTTTTTATTGTGGCAACGTTTCTTGTCACAGTCACTGAACAGCTAAAGCCTCACAGCAGCAACACCCATCCTCAACACCGTTCATGACATTTCATTTTAATTGCAGAGGCAGTGAAGGTTATCAACACTGGAGGGTGAGGTATAGCTCCAGCACCCACTTTTAAATGAGTGTGTTTTTGCTCCTGATTCTCTCTGTTCTTACAGCTACAGGATATCGACTGTGCTCTGTTGATTCATTACTTTGGCTGGAGTATGTTTTGATGCTATTATCTGGGCACAGCGCTGCCAAATGGATCATTAAACTATCAAAGTACAGCGCAGTGCTTTGTCATCTTCTGCAGCACCTGACCACATCATTGACTGCAGCTCTCATGACTTCATACACAGCTCCAGGTTGGCAGGAGATGCTGCAGATATGAAACCACCCGGTCACTGGTGCATGAGGTAGAACGATGATATCTTGGCAGACTCTGAATCCATTTGAATTCAGGAACTGATGAAGATCTTTCAGTAACAGTTTGAGTCTGACAGAATGAAAAAGATGGGAACATTGCAGGCTTTCAGCGTGTCATGATCTGTTCCTTTGGATTTGTCACCAGAGCGAGTGTGGTAGACGCAGCCGTGCTGATAAAGGGAGAGAGAGCGGGATTTGAGTCGGGAACCTGAATATTTCTGCTGGCTGTAAAAAGGGGACACTTAATCCCAAAAAACCCCAGTCTGTTCCTTTTTGATTTCTCAGCAACGCCACCATAATCCCACAAGGGGTTCAGGAGCATCTGCTCCTTGCAGATAAGCAAAGAAGTGAGGGATGAGATGAATCATAGAAAGAGATGAAAGAAAAGGAGATGAGGATAATGAAAAGGGGAGACGGGCCAGAAGACATAATATACAAGATTCTGTTGCAAACAAGCGACACATCGGGAGACAAAATAAACATCTCAGTCTGTGGTGGTTAAGTCACAGCTATTTAGTCCAATTAGTATTTTTAAAAACATTGAAGTCAGTTAATAATCATGTCTTAAATATTGCTTCTGGAATTTATTCCATGTGTTTACTACAACACCATCTGATGTGCAGCAAACACTGTCACTGCTACAGTTGCTTAGACGCTCATTGACTCATAAGGGACAAGTGTCACAATATGTTTTTTAAATAAATGTTTTGTTTCATCCATGCCTTGATTTTTTTGCAATTTATCTACATCAAGGCCATGCTAATGAATAGTTATACTCAGAATTTGTTTTTACAGGTAGGCAGTCCAACTAAAAATGTTAATTTTAATTAGTTTCATGTACTTAATGAATTGTAGGTCTAATGATTCCCATTGCTTTTCTATCATTTCACCACTATGACCATTAAAAAGGTATGTGTATTTTCTGTAGCTGTTTAAAAAGTTGAGATACGTTTTAAATAACGTTGTAGAATTATAACATATTCAAGAGATTTGAAAATTTGAAGTTGTAATGAGGTTTTAATCTGCTCTTTATAGACCTTTATAGATCATTGAATTTTCCTAAATGGAATTCTTATTCATAGTAGACAAAGGACAGCCCCTCTGATACTGAAGTGAATGTGCTGCACTTTATATTGTGCTACTTTGCCCTCTAGTGGTTTGATGAAGGAAGCAATTCAGACACGCACATGCACACTTCCACACATCTTAGGTGACATTAACACACTAGCTCTGTCGCTGCTGTGTGAGTAGGGGCTGAAATGCAAAGCGGATTAAGCAACATCTATTTCTTCTGGACACGTGTGTCATCAAAGATCATCTCGAAATTGATCTAAAATCCACAGAGGAAGGAGACTGAAGACAGTGTGTGGTATAATGAGCTAAGAGATAATTCCATTTCTAAAGAGAAGTTACAGTGGGGAGCTCCAGGGGGCTTCAGATCAGCAGCTCTCAGTCCTGGTCTCAGGCTCAGACGACTGGGTGGCTTCCATCCGACTGGTCTGTTAATTGCATTGATCTAAAAATGGCTTCTTATAGCCAGGATGAAAAATGTGTTCTAACACCCGACGTTGAAAACCACTGAGCCTTTGATTATATTTAAAGGTTCAGGTTGAGTGTGTCAGGGAATATGATGTATGAGATTTAGAAGCAGGATTTCAGTTCAGTTTTTTTTTTTTACTGCTATAGCCCTTCCATCAATAATTAATTTTTGTTGTTTATTTCTGTCTGTGGTCAGGATTTTGATCGACGATCCGTCTTCACTGTGACGTCTCAAGGCATCACTCCCAGCAGCCCTTGCTCCCCATCTCTCACTCCGCTGGCGTCGCAGCACTACCTGCAGCTTCTTCAGCAGCAGCTGCAGCAGCAGCAGCAGCACACGCAGGTGGCCGTCGCTCAGGTGAGAAGCAGACGTCAACAATCTCACTGTGGGGGGTCATCTCACGGGAAGAAATAGATATTGATTAAAATGCACCATGACCAAAGTGAGAATCTTTTAACAGTCTGTTCGACCCACAGTACAAATGCTCTATCTAAGTAGGGTTATTTTCACCATCAGTTAACATTTAGTGTTTTCAATCAGTCATTTGGTTCATGAAACATCAAGCTGCTCCCAGAGTCCAGATAAGAACTCATATAGTTGTGAGTTTGATCTGATCTCCAAACAGATTCTGCATGTTGACTATTGGGAATCTGTAGGTGAGGGACAACATTTTGGAGCTAGAAACCTTCTGTTTTGTTTTTTTTCTAGTTAGACAAATCAGGTTTGAGCAGGCTTTGGTTGCCTGCAGGAGTGGAGAGCAGATGATGTGGAACACATTGACCATGATGCCTCAGCTATTGGCTTTTTAATTCATCATATTCACATATATGCTGTTCATTGAGAAGTAAAAATGTCAACATTTACAACTCGCTAGTTGTGAAAAAATCTGGTCCTACATGTCGTCTCTAAACTCCAACTTTAGTCTGATGTAGCCAGTCAGACTGTAAACATTGTGCAGTGAGGTGACGACAGGCCTGGAGCAGATATACACTGTCTACACCGGAAGCCCCAAAATATTGGCCATTTCCTCCAGAGGATAATTTGTCGTCAGAAAATCGACCATGGGCTCCGAGATGACCAGAAGTCCAAAATGTACAGATCCTCTGTTTGCAATAACATACAGTGCAAAGGAAATTTATCATAGAATCTTTGTTTTAATATTATTTTTCTGTCACTTGAGTGATCATTTCAGCTCCCCTCAGACTGGTTCATCTTTAAATTCAGAGGCACGGCCAAGTTCACCAGCTACACCTGACAAGTTGATCCTGACTTATGCTGTGGATTAACCTCATCCAACACTGCGTAGCTCACAACAGTCACTGAACGTGTGCATCATACAGCAACTCTGACTTTTTACTTTTGTGAGAAACTACACGGAGCAGATGTTGTAAATTAAAACTGGAATTATTTCCTCACCTAAGACTTTTCATGTTTTCCCTAACGCACAATGTAATTTGCTTCCTTGTCACAATCCTATCTTTCTCTTTACTGAGGTGCCCCGAGGATAAAAAAACACTTGTGGCGTCCTTCATCTTAATTATTTATTCACAATAAAATCTCAATAGGCTGTGAGTTTACCATGTTTTCCCCAAGCATTGTATGTCTTATACTAATGGCGTTCCACTAGGGGGCAGCAGCAACACAGATATGCAAGGACAGGTGGTGCAGCATTAGATAAAACAACCTGTGCTGAAATTAAAAATGCACAAATGTTTCTTTAACATCTCAAGAGATTCACAAGCCTTTGAACAACATCTGAGGAACTGCAACAGATTCATGTTTACTTTCATAACCGATACTGTTGATTGCACTGCTTTATCAAAATCAACCTGTCAGTGAATTTAAAACACCGTCCTAAGATTACTTTGTCTCAGTCCAAGGATTAAACATATGAGCAGGATTATGAACCAGTTTTAATTCAATGTGATAAATCAAAACTTGAGTGTTATTAAGTGGAGACAGATAATAATGATTCAAACAATGACTGTAATTGCTATTGCATCAAATCAAATGTTCGTGCACAAACACCCTTTGTTTTCCTGCTGCAGGTGCAGCTGTTGAAGGATCAGATGGCAGCAGAGACCGCCGCCCGTATGGAGGCTCAGGCCCGCGTGCACCAGCTGCTGCTGCAGAACAGGGACCTGCTGCAGCACCTGGCGCTGCTCGTGCAGCAGCTGAAAGAGCTGGAGTCCCATTCACCAAAAACGGCACAACCAGAGCCGTCCCAGCAGGAGCCTCAGGAGAATGGCCACAGTAAGTTACTGCAGAGGAGGCGTGAAACTCCTCAGACCAACTCATGACAGGTCAGGGTCCTCATATCTGCTGCAGACCTAGTTTCACTCTCCCCTGTTGGCTTGGGGATGATGATGACGACATGCATGACACAGACCATGATCCCTCACTGACTTCCTGTCTGCAACAGTGTCAGTTGTGCTTGATGGGGCAGAACCACAAATGCCTGGGAGTGAAGGCAAGTGCTTTTCCTTCTGTGCCACCTGGTCATGCTTCAAATGAGCATTTCACTTCACATGTCAAAGAGACAAAAACACCTTGCCAGGAGTGAGCAACATTGTAGATGCTGGAGAATATTTTTAATGTTGAAAAAGTCTTGATCAGACTGAGAATAGTCACAGATCCTCAGTCAAATTCAGATGAAAGATTGAGGAAGAAATGAAAGATGATTCAAAGCTGACAATTAGATGTATTTTGGATGATTCGATCATAATGAGACACAAGTATAGTTGTGAACGCACCCACGATGCACTGAGGTTGCATTTGAGATCCAATCACTCTCACCACATTTGGAGGTGGTGTGGGACTCACATGGCCACATTCCTTTTAGCGGTGTGATCTCCACTCAAAGAGCTTTACAAGTCACATTAACCCATTCACCCACTTTTCGCACACTGGACACAGCTGTTAGGGGCACTTTAGGGTTCAGTGTTTTGACCAAGGACACTTCAGCATGTGGACTGGATGAATCAGAGATCGAATCGCCGACCCTCTGGTTAGTTGATGACCCGCTCTACCTCCTGAGCCACAGCTGTCCTTTGTGCTGGGTCACAGTGAAGGACCCTCTACTCACTCGATCCTCTGACCTGAGTCTGTGTCATAATGAACTGAAAATATTTGAAATGACCATGAATGAGATTCCAATCAGTGTTTCCAAAGTTTTCATACTTTGTTTGCCTGTAAATTGTATTCATTAAGACTAGACACTAGTCGTGACTCTGTGAGGCTGCACAGAGACAAAGCAGTGATTTGAGTAAACTGCTCACATACTTCAGCATGTTTTTTTTTTTGGTTCAGCATTTTGACTTGATGATGCTAAATGAAAAGTCAGGGGATCGCTAATTGGTAATTAGATCAGTAATTACAAGTTATTCTTCGGGGAATATCAAGGCCTGAATCAAATTTCACTGCACTCCATCTGATAATTTTCCGCTTTCACTCAAATTCACAAATGTTAACATGATGCTGGGGCTAGAGGAGGAAAGGGATCACCACAGTCATTGGGATAAATCCTCAGAGGACTATGACTGTTGTCACTAGCATGCTTGATTAAAGCAAACATTTTGTATTCTGAAGGTGTGTATTTCAGTGACATTGCTTTCAGGGAGAATTTTGATTGTACTGTTATTTTGGTAATGGAGGATTTTACGTGATGAATTTACAGCAGCTCGAAGAATGGTTTGTCATGTCAGAATGAAAATAACTACACACACACCTAAACCTAATTCTAACCCTGATCCTAGAAAGTCTGAGCTCTCAGTCAAACCCTATAGAGTCCATATATGTGTACTTATGTCAGGTGGGTTTAATTTGTTGTGAATAGGTCCACACACAGATGTACAAGTACACACACTTGGAACCGAATGTATATAAAGTCCCAGCTCTGCCCTGGGTGTTTTTTAAACCTGACGCATCATGTTTCATGCTTGTATTAATCATGTCAGACCTCCTGATGGAAAGTGCTGCTCTAGCTAATCTCAGATATGCCTGCTCCATGTGCTTCCACTAACACACTCTGTTCCTGTATGAGAACATGTTGTGGTTTTCGGTTGATTTTCCTGATTTCTCTTGTTTTTATTATTGACACTCATTTCTTTCATCTATTCCAGATGCTCAGCAGTCATCCGTCTCTACGTTAGCAAAGTCCCTGTCTCTAAATCTGAAGAATCACTACAACCAGTCCCCGGACCAGCTCATCACCTCCACACCGGCATGGCTGCTGCAGACCTCCCTCTCCCCAACGCAGGTGGATTGCGCCGAGTCTTACCTCAACCTGCTCAACCTGGAGAACAGCGCCACGCCGGCCGCGTCCATCAACGGGAGCCTGGACCCGTTCATCAGGGCCAACGGGGCAGTGGACGACAAGGAGAGGTCCTGCACTGATATCGTCCCGTTCACACCGAGAAACTCTGACAACATGGATGAGAAGTAAGTGGGCTGACCTTGTGTTGATTGCAGAGAAAACGATGCTTGTTATTACTGAAACAAAACACAAACGACCAAAATCGGTGTAGTGTAGCAATATCTTTACATCCAGTAGCAAATGAAAATGTCATTGCCATTAAAACAAGCATGTAAACAGTCTGCGTGAAACTTAGTTACTCCTGTTTCCCATGTATGAAGCTGAGTCTCTGGCTCCAGATTATGTCGAAAGTGCAAAATGTCGGCACCAGGATTTTTTGGATATTTTTTTAACAGGAAGATGTGATGATCCATCATCTGTCGTTATATAAAGTCTATAGCTGTGTCTCAATTCAAGGGAGCATCCTTCTGCATAGACAGTGAATGCAGAACCAAAATGAGGCGGCCTGGTCTACAGAGCCTTTACATGTTTACTATGTCACCACCTTGTCCCGCTCCTATTGCTGTCACAAAGCAACAGGGCTGCAGTTGGAAATTATAAAGTTTTGATGCCCTTGATTGAGGATTGATATCTTTGGGATGAAAGGAAGCATTTTTCGGCCGCATTTGGAGGAGCCTTTGAAATGTCACAGCCTCTTCGCGTCTCTGAAGCAACCGGTCTTCAAATGCAGCCTCTGAAGGATGCAGCCCCTGCATTGAGACACAGCTTATGAGTCATTTAGCTTTGGGGTACAGTTTAATTTGTCTTAGCCAATATCTGTTTACATCTTTTAAGAGTTTGCCAAATCAGCTCTTGGCTATTTCTGTTTGCAAAGAACCATGAATGAAATCACGGTATAAATAGCAAAGAACTTAAACAATCCTTATGTGGCACCAGTCAGTTTGTGTTTGAGGTAACCACTCTACACAGTGTGACACATGCAGCTGGGGCTTTTAGTGTTATTAGTGGAGAACAGCTCATCTCAGCAGAAACAGTCTGCAGCTAATGAAAGTGTGACTATAATCAGGGGATTAGAGAACACAGGGACAAAAGGGCCGGGGTCAGACAAACAAAGAGGGGATCAGGTTGGAGCTTGAAAGAGCGAATCAGAGAATGAGATTTAAAACATGGAAACTCCATCAGCTTTACCTCCCGTCCTAATGTTTTCTTCCCAGGCTTTGAAGAAGCCATTAAAACATGTTTAGAGCAAAAAGGTGAATTTTAATCTTTTTTGGGGGGGGGGGGGGTATTTCACGATCATTGGTTTTGCCATTCAGGGATGTTTGGTTCTATTTCTCATTTTCTTCCACATTTTTTTATGAAGAGATTTTTATTCTGAATGCAGCTCAGTGATACACAGCAACTTCTTACTTTAATGCATATATGTAGACGCAGCATGTAATTGCATCTAAATTAGCTTTTAATCTCTTTAAAAGCATCACAAAGACCAGCTGTGGTTAAAAAGAACAGACTCCCTACGTTAGATCAAGCAGAGCTCGCTCACAGAATAAACTCTTTAGGTCTGTTTCTTTTCTTCTCACTCATGCTTAACTCATAATTCATCTTTCCTCTTTTTGTTTTTTTAAAACAATCAGCAGTCCAATTTCCAAGAAGAGAATGTTAAAGTTACACACAATACAGAGTTGGAATCGTCTCAGTGGTGGAGTGTTTGGCATGATCATAGGTTTTGGAATTTTTTTTGTGTATATGCGTGTGTCCGCTGCTTTGCCAGACTCGCATCCTGTGGTTTCCTGCAGCCCCGGCATCTCGGCCAATCCCAGCGCCCGTCCCATTCACAACCTGAAACCCGACCCGCCCGCATATGTCAGAATACATTTTTCTCATGTAAAGGGGCAGAGAGGGGGAATAAAAGGAAAGACAAAAGGGGAATTCAGATCTCTTCCAAAGAGACATTTTGTTACTGTACATTTCCATCTGAATATCAGTTTCATCTGGGAGGTGTGGTGTGCCAGACTGTCCCTCTGTTTCCCTTTATTTGTAGTTGAATATGAACCAGCATCTTTTCTTTTCCTCCTGAGCTTCTTTGCTTCACCACCGTCTGTTTTCTGTCTTAGCACCTCAGCAATGCACCAAAAGGATAGTTTGTGTTCATTGTGTGACGTTATTTTCTGCTTCATCCTCCTCCTTTATTGGCTCGAATAAGACAATATAATAAATAATATCATCCAATTTTACAGTGAAGGATCAATCCAATAAAACTGAATAAAATTAATTAAAATTTAAATAATTATCAAAAAAGGAATATCCAGTGTTTTTGCTGGTAACGTTTGTCAGCTGTCAATAGAGGGTGAAAAAAATCAAACCCATAAATTATGATAAGTAGCAGGTCAATAGATTGAATCCAAGGTCATAGAAAAATATTCAAAGTAAGACAGTGTTTTAGACACAACACAACCAATAAAGCAAAGGAAAAGACAAGAGCTGCAGAAATGGAAACTCCAGCTGCATCATGTTATTGTGTGTCCCCCTCCTGCCAAACTCTTTGCATTACTTTTGGTGCAGTCAACCTCCTCTACCCTCCCACCACCACCCCCAGATTTTTATTGCTTCTATTTGCTTTTGTTTTCTGGACTTCCCTAGCAAATCAATGTTTACAGCCTGAGTGGCCATATTTTAGCAGACAGATACTCCTCTGCCATTCTCCCTCACCGTGTCTCCTCTTCCTCAGTGCTGCCCATGCAGAGCAATAGAATCAGTTCAATTCCCATTATTAGTGCCGTTTAGCTCTGCATCACACAAGCATTACCGCCCAACATGGACCATAGCCATGTGTGTGAACACCAGCTGGGACCTCGGGCACTTCACTGTATGAACACTGCATATGGTATGTTGGCATTGTAGTCAACACTATAACAAACCATGAGTCACTCTTTACACAACAAACAGAAAAAACAAAGTAGGATGTCATAGTAGATTTAAATTACATTTAGTAAATAACACAGTTTAAGAGTTACACCCACAATCTAGTGGAGTCGATGGCCATCAGCAGCTCTGAGAATGTACTACTATTGTACTAATGCTAACATGCTGGCTCACAAACATTTGATATAATATGTAAAATGCAACTGAATTGGACTTGAAACAGCATCATTTACACCATGTTTTAGCTTCAATGTCATCCTTATCATCCTCCTAGTTACTGCTGCAGAGTCAGGAAGTCACCAAAGCTGTTAGAAATGTAAACCTGATGGTGGCACTAAATGAAACGGGGAACATCTAGAACTGAATGTCTGCAAGATGTTATGTACCAAGTGAGAACATTAACCTGCCAGTGGTGCTGAAGTCAAGTGACCAAGGAAGACAGTATTTATATCTGAGTGTTTGTGAAAGCTTGATGGAATTTAAGGGCTGTTGCACCTCGGTGGAGGTGTGCGCTCTGAGTGGCATTTCTGGTTTTCACTGTTACAATTCATCTTGTGGGGAAAATTAATGTGTCTACAGTAATAGTTGTAGAAATATAAGAATCAAAACCAGAAATATAAACCTCATGGTGTAGCTAGATGAAAAGTCGGGCTCACCAATAGTTCAATAAAGGGGAACATCTGGGAACCATGAACATCGGTACATTATGTTCCAATCCATCAAGTCATATGTGGACCATGAGTCTTTCCCAAATGTAATAGTAATGCATCCAGTAGCTGTAAAAGTAAACACAATTGTCAACCTGATGGTGTTGCTAGATGACAAGTTACGCATCAACAAAGACGATAGGATTCATTCTCTGCAGGATCATTTCTCAGCAATCCATCTGATGGTTTGATTCAGTGTGAAACCACAGATCCAGTTCAGCCCCACATTGTGATCCCAGGAGCCACGCTGCTAAAAATTGCAGCACTGCCCACACAGAGCAGAAAAAGACACATATGGTGGCCAGACTGTATGAACACTCAACTATATTACTCACGAGTGAGTCATGTTTTCCTCTGGCATCGTATAGACTCTACTCCTTTACACTTTCTTTCTCTGAGAGTATTGTGTGTTGCATAATCACATTTTCTGACCCGTCTCCTTATCTCCCATCTCCCTTTTTTTCTCCCTCCGTCATTAATGTCATCCGTATGTCAGAGCTGCACGGCAGCCTCGTTGGTCAGTAATCCGATTGCAGTGATCTGATTGGAGTTTTAATGGATGATGTTGCTTGTGCATTTGGAGCTTCACACACTGCTGCACACATCGTTCGGAGATAGAAAATTATGTATTTACGGGGTTGCAGCGAGCTTTATCTGCTTTCAGACTCGTGTTTCGCTGAATGTGATACCTGAAGAGGTGGAGCGTCAACCTGCGAGTCACTGAATATTTTTTGATTGGGTCAGTCAGGGTTGAGAACAGCTGGTCTCCGTTTTGCTAACAATTCCATCTGACATCTATGCCTCACGTTAATCCACTCACACGCATAAAGGTTCAGTGTGTAGAGTTCAGTGGTGAGGTTGCATGTTCCAGCTGAATACCCCTCACTTCACTGCCTCCTTCCAAACATGAAAAATACCTGTGGAAGCCTTACATTTTCACGAGAACTCAAAAGGTGTTTAGTTTGTCCAGTTTGGAGGACTGTAAAAAACATGACCATAGAGAGGACCCTATCCCGGTGTAAATATAAAGTGCTTAAATGTAAAGGGCTCATTGTAGGGTAAAGACAGAACAATTTAGATGAAACACTCTAGTAAAACTTCATCCCTTTCACCTAAATCTTACACACTGGACCTTTAACGTCCCACAAACACTTAGATGGATGTTGTGTGGTAATTCCTTTGCAAAAGCAACAAGCTTTTTCCAAACTCTAGTATTGAGTGTCTGCTTTATTCATGTTTAACAGTCAAGTAAATGAGCATGCTGTGGTTAGGAGAATGGGCATTTTGCACTTTGTTGTCCAGTGAATTTGGAAAGATTACAAAATTAAAATTACAAAATACATGAAATAATTTACAGACTGATTTTCAGCTGCGAAACCTGGTAACATCGAAAAAGTTGGAAGCTTTTGTCAAATCTCTTGAGTCCAAGTTGTCTGTGTGCAAGTTTTTCACATCATATCATTTATGTCATTAATCTGCTGTGTGTTTGACTGTTC